GAAGGAGGCCTGCCAGGCTGGAGAAGGGGCCTTTGTTGGCAGAATCTCTGGCGGTTTCAGGCTGAAAGAGAAGCCAATGCCATATTTCAATTTCTTCCAGCAGTTTCCCTTCAGGGCCTGGTGCCAAGGTAAGGGAGAACCCGGGCCTCAGTCTTTTCCTGCACAGGGATGTGGGAGGACGGCCAGGAGCTAGGGGTGGTGCTGGCCAGTTTGGCAGTTTGTTCCAGGAACTGTGGACAGAGTTGTGGGGGAGGGGTGCGGAGGGGGAGGGAATAAACAGCGAAGAGGAAACTCCATTGCCAGTACTTGGAAATTAGGAAGGGGCTGGAGTGTAGCTCAGTTAGCTTAGTGCTTGTTTAAGACTCACAGAGTCCTGGAGTTGATCTCCAGATCCAGGACATGGAGGTGCATACCTGCAATACCAGCACGTGATAGGTGAAGATAATAAGAGCAGTTCAAGGTCATCTTTAGGGACATATGAAATGCGAGGTCACTGTGGGCTACATCTTGTCTTAAAAAAAAGTGAGCAAAAAAGAAAAAAAATGGCCTTTCTAAATCAGAGCAACACTGGCTGTCTTGGCTCTAGGCCTGTCCTTTAACTTCAGCCCTTCTGAGGCCGAAGGGTTCCTTCTCCCCCTTATACCCAGGTCCACACTAGGGCCATGTTCAACCCCTAGACCCAGTCTGCCAGCCTCCTAGCCTGTCCAAGGGGTTAAGCATTGGGAGGTCACAGGAGCTGGGGAGGGGGAAAAGTTTATTTAATCAGCGAGTCTCTGAAGTTGTCTAGTTTCCATCACAGAGAACAGGCATACAAGAAGGAAGGGAGAAGGAACATCATCAGATCACATACACCAGTCAGGCCTGCCACCTCCACCCCCATCCTTGTGATAGGCAGAGAGACAGCTCTCTCTCAGCCTAGGAGCTTCTTGTGCTTGGCTTAAGCAGAGATCAGTCAGAGCTGTGCACCCTTGCCACTCTGACCCCCCATTGACAAGTCCATCTGCAGAGACTCCCTCCCTGGGACCCAGATATCTGAGCCCAGCACAGACCGGAAGAATGCAGAAGTCAGCTAGAAAAGCAAACATTTGGACCTCTGCTCATTGACCCCGGAAGAGAAAGTAAAGAGCAGAAAGCAGGCAGACAATACAGTCCTGTCCCCATATGGTCACAAAACTGCCCTTAATAAGAATATTGTTCCCATAGCCAGGCCTAGAAACAGAAAGAAGGCTGTGATGACTCACACCACCTGAGAGCTATTTTCTTTTAGTACTCTAAGTATAATTTACCACGCTCTCCTCTCTGTAGAAATAGTGACAAGACCTGGTATCACTTGGGTGTTTGGATTACTTCCTGTGGTATGACTTTGTCCATAACACACATAACACAGTTTTAGTTTTTGTAGGTTTGTGCTTTTTAAACGTTGATGTGAAATGTGAACAAGAGTTCTGGTCTTTGTTCCAGAGACAGAAACTCGGAGAAGATCAACAAGGAGATTGGCTGTGTATCCTGTAAATGAGCCGCAGGTCAGTGTTGTGTCCGCA